ACAGCACTCTATCCAGGGCGACAGCTTAAGGTTCTGTCTCAAAAAAAAGAATAAAACAAAATCCTGGTTCTCTAAAAAAATGAAGTGGATGTAGGTGAAGACCAATAAAGTCATGGGAAGAGGAAGATTTCAAATATCACACCACTTATAGTTTCACATTAATTTATGATTGTAAGCATACTGTGTTAAAAATTTTTTAAAGCCTGTGAGCTAATTAGGGTTTTTTTATTGAGAAGAATAACTTTTTATTTCACTCACATTTTTTCTTTTGATTACTGTGGTGCCATCCGTCAAAACTACAATTAAAGATAAATTCTACCTTAATCTGACTCACACTATCATTTCTTAGGAAATAAGTAGGAAGTAGAGAGACATTCCACAGAGAATTACAACAAATGGAACGTTAGTCATGAGTGCTAGGCAATTGCAGTGTTCACACAGCAGAGAGTGCCACTGGCCGGGACACACCCTTCGCAGTTAAACAAGTTTCACCATGGCTGTTGTATAATTTTCCTTACACACTAAGATGATGAGTTTTGGGATTCTTCAGGATGATAAATGACACTAAGAAAATTTAAGTTCCTGAGCAATGTTATCAGAAATGACAGACATATGAAAGGGATGAAGGAAGGAGAGGACAGGGAGAACCCCAGCCAAGATCGGGAAGTCATGTACTAATCCAACCTAAAACTGTAGTATTAAGCAGGAAAAAGAACATAAGAGCAAGCAGAATTAAACCAGAAGTTAGAGAAGAAAGAGGAAAGTTTGGGGTTAGAATATTCTGATGAGGAAACTAGGCTTATTTAATATGAGTTGAAGAAAGCAATAAATTCACCAGTTCAGTACCACTGAACATAACAAGCCATTGGACAGTAGCAGTCCTTCAGAAGAGAATTTATTTCTTAGAAAAGTATTAGTTTAAAGAAGACACATCTTTATTTACTAAAACAAGAGTTTTAAAATAATTTATTTGCAAAGAAGATGCTTAGTACCTCTACTTGCCAAAGCTGGTAGTTATTTTATGTGCCTCAGAGTAGTGAATCTGCATTTTAGAAATATCTGGAATTCAGATTATTTTAAATTGACCATATCCTCAATTTGATCAACCCTCTATTTAAATTGAAATATTTTCTGGTATAAAGCATATGATGTTATTAGGAATTTCTGGAAAAAATAAATCATAAAATTATTAAAACTTTACATGTGGTTGATTTGCTCACAATCATAACATGAGCTTAAGATGTGCCTGTTTTGGCTCGGCACCTGTGGCTCAAGTGGCTAAGGTGCCAGCCACGTACACCCAAGGTGGCGGGTTCGAATCCAGACCGGGCCTGCCAAACAACAATGACGGCTGCAACCAAAAAAATAGCCGGGCGTTGTGGTGGGCGCCTGTGGTCCCAGCTACTTGGGAGGCTGAGGCAGGAGACTCGCTTGAGCCCAGGAGTGGGAGGTTGCTGTGAGCTGAAATGCCACGACACTCTACCCAGGGGGACAGCTTGAGGCTCCTGTCTCAAAAAAAAAAAAAAAAAAAAAAGATGTGCCTGTTTTAAATCTCTAAGTAAAATACAGAGGTGAGATCTTAATCTCTTCTGGTATACCCAAGAGCTATTATGAACAATTCTGCCTGATTTAACATGAACAGGTTCATACTGAAAAGGAGCCTTAAATTTCTGACAAGAGCTATGTAAATATTCTACTCTAGTTGTTTGATTAGAATGTTGTCAAAAAGGCCTCAGAAACCATATACCACGTAGAGAGGACTTTTGGAGGCAAACGGTTCATAGGCCTTGTTCGCTGTAATGTAGGTAAAGGGGTAAAGGGCTTGGAGGTTTCTCATTCCTTCTCGGTGAGTTCCAAAAGGCCATGTGCACATGGGACGTGGTCTTTCACTAGTGTGGACAGCACCTTGATCTCTGTCCTATAGCTGCTGCTTCAAGTGGGCCTCTGCCATGATGACCACGGAATGAATGAATGCCTGTTTGCACAGCAAAATGATTCAGACTCTCGGCCCTATTTCAATTAAGTACAATGTATGTTCTATTCAGATTACTGGATTCATCTACTCATGACTCGGGTCCCTAGCAGGATGCCCCATCTTATTCCACACAGAAACTTGAGAGGAAATTTTATAAAACTGACCCATACTGCACCAGAACAGCCTTCAAGTATGTTTTCCTTGGGAAATTCTGCGGTCCTCGATGACTGATCCAAATTAATATATTTGGCTGGCGCAGTCTCAGAAGCGTAACAAGAACCGTTCTGCTAACCATCACCTTCCTGCTTGAGTTACTGCCAAGGCTCATTTACGTCACATCACTCTCAGTGTTGCTTCCTCAATCAGATTCTTTCTCCCAGATGTTGTCATCAGTGGCTAGGGTTCAAATTCTACTCTGTCATCTACTAGCTATGTCATGAGAACATTATTTAACCTTTGTAAGTCTATAAGATAAGGAAATATACCTCCAAAGAATAAGAGTGTGCTGGCCTTGCCTCAATGTGTATGGATAAAGTATCCATACAGTATACCAGGACGGTAATAACAGGAATAATAGGATTATCTTTATAGTTTTGACAGTAGATACTAACCCACTTTTCCTAAACAAATTATTCATCTGGAAAGAAGATCTAAGTTTCATGTAGGTCGACCAACAGAAAAGAAATTTTCTAATCTGTGCTGACCAGACCCGGGCCTACAATAATGTGAGACAGAATTGAGCTATTTAAGATCACACTTCACCCACACATAACCATCTAGCAGGGACTCAGCACAGAAGCACTGAACTCAGAATCCAGAAACATGATTCTGTCATCTATTAGCTGGGGGAGCACGAGCAAACATTTTCACATCTCCAAGCCTCAATTTCTACTTTTACTAACGAAAGTTATAGTCATGCTGTACGCAGTGGCTCACGCCTGTAATCCCAGCATTTGGGAGACCAAGGCAGGTGGATAGCTTGAGCTCAGGAGCTCAAGATCGGCCTGAGCAAGAGTGAGACCCTGTCTCTAAAAAATAGCCGAGGTTGTGGTGGGCACCTGTAATCCCAGCTACTTGGGAGGCTGAGGCAAGAGAATCACTTAAACCCAAGACTTTGAGGTCACTGTGAGCTGTGATGCCATAGCACTCTACCAAGGGCAACACAGTAAGACTCTGTCTCAAAAAAAAAAAAACAGTCATGTTTTTCAATCTGTTTTTAAGCAATAGAAACATTTCTTAGTTACTCTTCTGAGTTCCAACTAAACACCCACTTCTATGCCCCGGAGACACTTCTATGGAACATCAACGGCAAGGACTCCATTGAAAATAGCCTGAAAACTACAGAGATAAAGCCCTGGTAGCTTTTATATTTTAGATATCCCAGCCTAGATATTCATCAAGTTCAAGGATCAGGTTTTCTAAAATAAATTAGATATAACAAATTAGTTTATCAGTTGTATATATTCACAATTCTTTAACTGGAAATAAAACATACCTTAATTTCTGGATTTCCTTATTTTCACTTATTCTATTAACACCTAAAAAACAAAATGTTGAAAATCTGCTTATTAATATATATTTCACTGAAGTT